TGGAGAGCCTTTGCTTGGACGGCTACCTGCTGGGGGAGGACATACCGTATCACCTGGCACCTGAAAACATACAGTACTTCAAGACCCTCCGAACCCTCCAGGTGGCTTCCATGAAACTTTCCGAGGACGACCTGAAGGTGTTCCTTAACAAATGCCAAAACATGCGGATTCTGGAACTCGTCCTTCAGAATCCACATGTCCTCTACGACCGCCTTATCTGCCAGCTCCTGGACGCGGGTGTCTGGGAGAACCTTGTCAAAATCCGTGTCCTCAACTCGCCGATCACGAGTAAGGTAATGACCCGCCTGGTGACTGAGTGTCCGCACCTTCAGGAGGTCGGCTGCCTCTACACCTGGCTCGTTTCTAAGGAACAGGTGTCCGAGTTCAAGGAAAAAATTCGGCACCAGAATTTTGATATCGAAATCTACTGACGGTGAGTACGCGCTTCGTGCGTGCTACACCCCGTTGTTCTCTTGCAAAAATGTTTCATTTGTGATGACGCTTGCTGCATACCACACGCAAGGTACGAAGTGATATGCTGTTTACGAGTGTGATTGCCAATTCCCTGGCGGCCGAAGGAAATGTTAGGAACCCGAGGACTGTCTGAACACCTGAGCCAAAACGCGCAGATGCTCTGTGTTCTGCCGCATTTTAGACGTCAGTGTGAGATCAGTAGAAGTTGCGTGAAGGTGAACGGAAATCAAGGAATACTTTCCTCTCCCCTAAAAAAGACATGATGAAGTGACCTGATTTTTGCTTTAATATCGAGTCTATTTATTCTTTGAAAAAGTTCAAAATGTTTTTATTTTATCTTTATATAACCTACACTCAATGCATCCGGACAACGGCCACAGCTGGCAACAGTGTGGTGAGAAAAACGCCAAGAAGAACATTGATATCCTGCCAGGCTCGGCCTCTACCCCTGGTGCTAACAGAGGGACGAAGCAGCTGAAAATGTTGGTATTTCAGTGCACAAGATATTTATATGTAGCAGGTGATACTGCGTGTATAAATTTCAATTTTAGCATTGTATTGTCAAGTGACAGGCAATCGACCTCACTTGCTGGAAGAAGACTGACCCTGTTCCCCCTAAATATTCCTACCTTATACCATTTAAGGCCTGACCATTTAAAGGTCAGACATATTGGGCTACTAGCCGTCTGCTTATCACTGATTCGGGCGTCAGATCAAAGAGCTTTAGCCAAGCTCGAAAAGGGTTAATGGCGATTGGAGAGTAAGGGTAAAGAAAAAATACAGAGCCAGGGATATCCGCGTATGATCAAACAACCTGCTAGCTTAATCGGTTGGCCGGTCTAAAGTTGGAGATTCTGCCAAAGCCAAGTAGCCTCGACTATGCTCTCTTTAGTTAGTCCACCCACGAAAGTTCGGTATTTAACTCGATTGCATTGTTTTCTCAAAGAACGCCAAAGCTATTACTGCAGAGTTGTTACTTGTTATGTCTGGGTTGGCTATTGCTCTTCCATTTAAACAGCCAAGCTAAAACATGTAAAACCCAGCTATCGCCCAAGTTTTGACTATGAGCCTGTGTAGGGGACTGGTAGGATGTCTCAGAATTTATATTATATTAATATAAACGCCTTTGTTGTACTATTGAGTGCAAAACTTAAACTAGTTTTCACTCCATTTTGGAATAGTTTTCAGATTGTTGATAACGTGTTTATTTTGAGATGTATCGTATATTTTAAATCTGTAAGTCATAAGATGTCTAAAAATACCATTTCATCAGCCAATTCATTCAGCATTACTCATACTAGGCGAGAGTCCAAAATCATGCATATTCGACACTTGTTATTACATGCGCTAACGTTCAAACTCGAAAGTATGTTATAATACTGCAGTTTGCCGAAGTGGAATGTGTACCCAAGAGAAATAAAGAGTACGTAGCTTGAAGTCTGATAGTTCTTGCTGCTACTTGGCAATCTACAGTTTTTAGATATGCAGTTTTTACGACATTTGTAATAACATTTGGTCGTGTCACCCAAGTACCTGTGCTCAGTCCGCCCTTAGCTGTCATGATCACATTAGAATCTACGGTAGTGTTATTTTGAGTGTGATTCAATATTTATTCACCTGACTAAAATCATTTAGTGTCTCGTTGATTAAGGCAGAGAGTGAGAAACCTGTTTAGTACCAGAGAATACGAGTTACTATTTTAACAAATATGTATTTTAGACTAAAGCTAGTCAGTTTGCGAGCGCCACTGCGGCATACTCAAGTGCTGGCTGAAACCAGAGAATATGTGTAACCATTTTGCTTTTTCATAAGCACTGATGGTCATCGCATGTTTAAAGGCTGAAAGCTAACCGACGCAATGCCAAAGGTGTGTATTTCAAAGTCAGTAATAATAGGAAGCGAAAGGAACAGGCTCTCGGTGTCGCGAGAGACGCTTCCCGGGCTGGTCCTTCGTGTCGATTTATCCAATGTTGTCTTTCACGCAGTTGTGACTTGTTTCTGAATAAATAGTTGATTTTTTCATTAC